GCAGGCAGCTGTGTGACCAGCATGGCCTGTGCCACTTCCTGACGGTGAGCCCGAGCCCCCCTCTTGCTCACGGGCCACCTTGACAAGTGACAGACTGAGCAATTGCTGTTTAGCTGCTATTGCGAAGGATGCTCTGCAGCGACAAGTGTTGCCGTTGCACACAGAAGTGCCCCGACAGTTCTTTTACCCTTGTTTCCATGCAGCAAACTTGTGATGTGCCATGAGTAGGGGAACCACTCTTCCCCCGCTTCTCTGCAGAGATTCTCTGGGCTGCTCAGCAGGCCCAATCTCTTGGTGGGTAGTTTCAGAGAAAAGAACTAGTACAGTGCTGCACTACGGCACAGCAGAGGAAAGAAATAGGTATGGATCCCCTTGCTCTTGTAATTAGTATTCCCACTGGCCACCTGTTTGCTTTTCAGTTCTTACTGGGGAGGACAGGGCTAGAGCAAACATGGGGCAATGGGTCTTTCCTTTCCTGGATGGTTGTTAATGGACCCTGGCAATGCCACGTGAATTCCTACTTGCAATCACAGAATCATTAAGGTTGGAAAAGACCTTTAAGATCATCAAGTCCAACCATCAACCCAATACCACCATGCCCCCTAAACCATGTCCCCAAGTGCCACATCTACATGTTTTCTGAATACTTCCAGTGATGGTGACTCCACCATCTCCCTGGGCAGCCTGTTCCAATGTTTGACCACTCTCTCAGTAAAGAAATTCTTCCTAATATCCAATCTAAACCTCCCCTGGTGCAGCTTGAGGCCATAAGTGACCCATGAGCAAGAGAGGGGCTCAGGCTTGCGGTCAGGAAGTGGCACAAGCCGTGCTGGTCACCCAATGACGGGAAGAGAGGCCTGGCGCAGGGTTACCTGCCACCAATCTCTGAAGCCTGGGCTGCTCTGTTAACAAAATGTGCTCTCCCTTTCCTCATAATTTTTTCCCCTAAGAAATATTAATTCATGCAGCAATTACGCCCTTTTGTTCCCCAAAGCTCAGCAATAAGGACTCAAGCTGCAAGTGATTTCAGTATTGATCAGCCTGACCTCCTGGGCCCCCGTCGGTCAGATCAGGCAAAGCAATGGCATTCGAGCCTCACAAAATGAAGAGCACTGTAAGAGCCTTCTGTGTTAGTGATATGACAAGGATCTCCACATGCTGACAGCAAAGGCTGCTCCGCATGGGAACGTGAGATGAAATGAAGCAGGGAAGGAATGTACAGTCCACGGGGAGATGGAAAAGGGTTCAGAGAAACAGGTTGCTTCCTGCCAAGCAGGGTAAGAGAAGTGCTGCCATTGATGAGTCTACTCCTGTGACACCAGCAGGTGAAGCTTTTCAGAGCCTGTTGTGACTGTGACCTGGGCAGGATGGGATTAACAGTGTAATACAAGATCTCTATGTTGGCAGAAAGGGCAAGATCAATATAGCTAGTGGATTAGGACTAGAATAGAAGTGCATGAAGCCTGCAGCCTCGTCGGCTTGGTTTTCTACTTCCAAATCACTTATGCAGCAAGTATGTCTAGAATGAGAAGATTACTAACAGATCTATGTGTGCTAAAGGCTTGCACTGCTCCTGACAGACGTCAGCACACCAGTTCTTTTGGAAGACCACTGGTTATAGCTGGATGGGGCCAGCAGCAGGGGTGGATGCATATCCAGCAGCTGTCTCGGCTTCTTAAAACAAGCCTATGTGCTTGTGCCTGGGCTGGAGAACTTGATTACAGATTATAAAAAGCCTGTTGTGTTTATGCTGGCTAAAGGCATTAGAAAGCAAAGCAGGATATTTAGGGTGCTCATTTGCATACCACTGAGGTAATGCAAGGCTTAGCTGGCTTTTGCATTTGCAGAGAGATTTTCTGTAGATTCCCTGATCACATGGGCCTACACAGGTTCACCCACAAATAGTTCCCTCTTATCAACAGGAGAGCAGCACATTTCCATGCCCTCAACATGCCTTTCAGCACTATCCAGACAGCCTCAATCCCAGCATCACTCTTGTTTCATTAAGCCCCTCTGATGCACAGCCCTGCACGCCTGCCAGATCAAATTATAAATACTGGGAATTTCAATGAGACTGGAACTATATTTGGAAAGGCTTAGCGTAAGCAGCAGCATGGGAGCTCCCCGTTCCTTTGGTGTTTGTAGGTCATGTCAGATGTGATGTAATCAGAGCAGCAAGGCTTTCACATAGCTTCAGGAGTCTCTTGATGCTGCTAGAGAAATGGAAATGTTGTCTATACATGCGTCTGTTTCAAACCTAAACCAATTTGAGGTACAGCCCATATTCAGGACCATGGTGTATCTAACAAAACCTGCATGATCAGTACGTGAAGGTGGTTCAGTCTAGATAAGGCCTGACATCTAGCAGTGACATCTACCACTGCAGTTCCTTTCTCTGTACTGCAAACAGCACACACAGAGCTCTTTGCTGCATCCCAAAGCTGAACAAAGAAAAGGTCCTAGGAAAGAAGCTGGCATTAATACTCCTCTTTCATAGATGGGGGAATTGAAGAGACTGAAGTCAGAACTCAGTTAAAGGGCATTCTGCCATCTTGGCTCATGCTCTTTCCATCAGATCTTGGTCTGCAACTTGCTGCTGGCAGAGAATTAAAACTGATTTGCCGTGACACATTCAAATCCTACAGTGATTCGGGAATTAGCATTAAAGAAACACAGTCCGGATGACTGCCAAGGGAGCAGGAGGTTGACTGGGTGGGCCTGGTTGAGCCACCTTCCTATGCTGTGTCCAAACAGCTGACAGCTTTGTGCTTAAACTAGTTCCACAAATTTGTCCTTGAGTCAGGCACTGTTTGCTAGAGATAAGGACAGCAGATCTTCTCTGGGACAGCAGCTAGAAAAGGGGATCAGGAGCAACCTGCTTCTGTACTTTGCTTCTTTCTTTTCCCTACTTATACCGAGAGTTTCTCAGAGAAGCCTTTCCAACAGTTTGTTGTGCCAGTGCAGACTTCAGATACCTTTCCCATACTGACCACATTTTGATGGAAGCTTAGCTTGGTACATGCAACCATTTTTAGCTGAGCTGGTAATGGTTTCTGAGGCCCTTGTCACAACCCACCCCAAAACCAACCAACCAACCAAACCAACCCAACCCAAACGCTTGGAAGATGTGACCAGAAACTGGAACTGAGCTGAGGGACCTGGAAATAGCACTCATATTCAAGCAAGACAGCAAGAGGCACAGGCCAGACACTGAATCACACCACCAAGACAGGACAATCCCAAAGGGCAGAAAAGCAACTGTAGAGAAGCCTGAGCTGGTAAAAAACTGCAGGGAGATAAAAGGGCAAGGAAGAGTTCAGCTGCAGGTTTCGTTTGCATTGCAAATAGACGTGAGTTAGGCAGATGAAACCCTGGACAGAACATTTATGTAAATGATTGCCTAATGCTTGCAGGGTCATGGATGTGTACTCTGACATACCTTCAGGTAACTTCCCCTCTGAATGCAGGTACCTGTGAATGAAGAGATACATTGGGGTAAACACTCAATGAAGTTACTCACATCCTGATTTTACAGGTATAAACTCTGTACACTAAATCAACCCCTTTCTCTTCATACACACACGCATTTATAATGGTTAATCTTGTAAGAAAGTTCAGGAGCCAACACAGGATGCACATGTCAGGCAGTGGTAAACCTCATTCCCTACATGATTCTGCCATTACGTTCCTCATCCTGGCTGCTGGGACACAGCACAAATAAGCTCCATAAAACCAACTTGCTCTCAAACTTCTCATGTGACACTAAGGGAAACTGCAAGAGGCTGCCAAAGGCTATTCACCTCTGAGAGCACTGGCTCTTTAAACTCTTGTGTTTGCTGACCAGGGACATTGCCTCAGTGACAGCTCCTGTTTGGGGACTAGCGTCTTTCTTTCTAACCCATGCTGACACTGGGACATCTGAGAAGCTGCTCTGACTTTTTGCTTATTAAGACTTTGATCCCTTCATGACTTTGTCCTGGGAAATCTCTAGTAAAAATGCATCCCTTGGAAACAGAATGAGGGGACCAGTGCAGATGATGTGAACAGTGATGGTGCTTCCATCAAGAAGTGTAAGCAAATGATCCTGATATGGTGAAGACATCAGAGGGTATTAGCTTCAATTCTTTTTTAATTCTTTTGTTTTTCCTGCTCTAGCTTGTGGTTCGTGGCTTCAGAGCACATATGCTCACATCACCATTTGCATTGTCTCCAGATTTGGCCCATCACAAGGATGGGAGGAAGCAGGTCTCCAGCAGATGGCACTCAGAGCTGCCCACACCCAGGCTTGCTCTTCCATAAGAAAAAAAGAAATCCAAACAACGGAACATTTGCCAAAAGGAGAAAGGAAATAAAAAAAGAAAAGTTATTTAACCCTGTGTAATATTTAAAGAGATTGTTATCATCTTATAGTGGTGTATTTAACGAAGGACAATGTGACAGTTCATGTGTAAATCAACCAAGATAAAACATACATTATATGTAAACTGTTATGCTTCTCCAGTCACTTTCAAACTAAGATTACCTCTGGCTATTGGTTAAGTTCAAGGAAAAGGATTAGCTACACAGGTGTAGACAAAATAGGAAGCACGGAGTAATGAATACGCAAAGCAATTAAAAGCAAAACTCAAGCCAGAAATGCAGGTCATGGCAGAACTCAAACAGCAATCAGAAGACATATGCCTTAAATAGATTCCCCTGACAATGGTCTCCTCTTCTCCAGAGCCAAAGATCTGCAAGCAATACCAATTTCTACTAAACAATGGCCTTGCAATACTTGGCCACCTTCTACCCCACTACTCAAGTCCTACTGTTCTGACAAAGATTGTTAAATGTTGCCTTGTAAACATTACCAGAAATTTTTTGGGGGCGGTGGGAAGGAAGGTTTAAGTATCTCCTTCAGTGTCCACTCCGCTTTTCTGCCAGAGGTTTCTTCCCCCACAACTAGCATCTACCCACCCAAAGAAGTGATTCAGCACTTGGTAAAGCTAGCAGGGTGGGAACTTTTTAAAACAAGCTTGGAGAGATAAAGCAGTGAGTGGTTGTGAAATTTGGCTAAGTATCTGAAGTCCTACTGTCTGGGTGTGCTGCTCTACCACGGAGGGACCTTCAAAGCACTAACTGACAGCAAATTAAAGGATGTGAAGAGCTGCTCCAAGAGTGAACTAATAGCCATTCCGGGCCACTAGAAACAGAAGCAAGGAGAGATCCAGTTCATATGGAAACGTTAGCAGGAGCAGAGAGCATCTTCAGCAGGGAAGGAAGGTTTGATCCAGCAGTGAATGAAGGGGTTTGTGCTTGTATAAAGGTTCAGGGAGACACAAACTGTATTTTGGTTACTGAAAGGTCCTCAAGGCTGCTGCCAGGCAGACCTGACACTGATCTGGAAGAACAGGCATGAAGAAACTGATTCTTTCCTCATCCTTTTTGTCCTGAGCCAAATGCTTCAGTACTCAGCAAGGCTCAGTGCAGAGCTATGGGAATGGGCTCCACCCAGCTGTAATGCTGCAGAGGAATTGCAGCCTTGCTCGTTTGTATTTCTCAGGCAAAAAGATGGCAATGAACTGTGGTTGCAGAGAGAGAGAGAGAAACACAAAACTCTACCTCCTGCACACATTCATAAAACTAGCCAATCCTCTCCCAAATCAATCTTCTCACTCCCATCTCCACCCTGCTGGAGCTGTCTCCGTGGGATATTCCAAGTAGGGGAGAGGTTGCAGCTCTCTTGTTGCCATTTTGGGAATGTTGTTTTATAGATTGGACTTGCTGTGGTTTGAGTGAAATGAAAGAGTTTGGCATAAAATCTCAAAAAGTCAAACACAAACAGGCTCTTTTTCAGGAGCTCTTTCCATGTGTGTTTTTTTTCCAGAGAGACTTTTTATAAATTCTTTCTCTTTTTAAACATAAAGTGATCTAAGGTGGCTTGTTCCCACCCACCCACCAAGTGCCAGAGGCCGGCTGATTGCAGGGCACCTCTCACTGCAGCCTCTTTGTTATGCCTGTGGTAGGTTCAGACCCACATTTGAAGGAAAGTGAGACCCTCTGCAATGAAGAACTTCAAAAGGCTATGAGATGTCTGAAAGCACCCACCATTTCTGCACTGCAAGTACTCAGCACCGGCTCCTCCCTAAAGGACTAGCTGCTTTGAAAGCTATTGCCGTCTATAGCTATCAGCTGCATTCTCTCGGCAGAAAAACTGAAATGGTCCAAGAATTATGGTCCTACAAACCGCAGGACTGAGCTAGCTCCCAAATTCCCTGTCTTTATTCGGTCATCCTCAAGGAAAGATGCCAGCAGAATGAGTGGGCTAGCTCCTATGAAGCACTGACCACTCATACCTCCCCCCCATGATGGCAAGAAGGAACAAGTCAGGATGGAGCTGAAACCTCGATCTTGGGGAACACAGAACTCCTCTGGGGTAGAAGCAGGACTGATGCCCTGGTGGGCGGATTACAGTTTTGGTGATGTTCTGTTTGATGAGAAATTTTCATTGAAATCAATGACTTCACTCTCCAAATAGTCTCTCCTGTGCCAAAGGCAAAACCCTTCACTGAACTGACTGCACTGGCTGCTGTAGAGCATGGGGAAAATACAATTTTGAAGAGCATGGCAAAGAATGGATGTCTTAAAGATGCGTTGGGGCTCCATTTAGGATCCTAACCTCTAATCTGCCCAATTAATCTGATGAAACAGATGTGAAAGAGGAAGAACAGACAGTCTCCAAGGAATCACAAAGACATTAGAGGGATATACTTGCCAGATGTTGAATGTTTGCTATCTGGAATGCCTCCTCCCTCCCTAACCAGACTTTCTGGCTCCATTTCCATGCACCCTGAACTACACCATGTAGCAACATGCAGTTTGTAAAACACTATTCAGGCACTCTGTACTCATGTGTATTGCAGTGGCCAAAGATGGTTCTGCCAGTCAGGAAAAAAAGGTGTTGATTCAGAGATCTTCCAGTTGACAGAGCTGCTCTGTGGCTCTGTGCTTTGGTCCCTGCACTGCCTGGGAGAAGAATGTGCAGTGTCACTGCTCCACTCATGCTGCTAGCAGCCTAGGGACGCTGGGAAGGACATTCCTTGAGGCTGTTTCTTTGGAAAAAAACTTCTTGGGGCGGGGGCATCCCTGCAATGCTGGTGCCCTGTGCTCAGCTTTATCCTAACTGCTCTCAACAGTATCGTGGAAGGGCACTGGGATGAATAACTTAGTCAATTTAAGGAAGAAGGGAGCAGGGACAAAGGAATGAGAGAAAATGTAGGACAACATACCCAGCTATGGGATATATGCCAGGCACGGGGCAGAGTCCTCTGAGGGGCAGGGACAGAGTCTCAAAAGGTAAACAGAGAAGGACAATTCTGTCTTGACCTTACAGGGGCAGTCTGGGTGCAATCACAGGCACCACTCATAAGTTCCCCCTGGGACACTTAAGGTGAGTAAAACAAAACACCAGAAGGGAGCTGGACTGTGAAAGGACAGGCTGAAACATAAGGTACTGGAACCTGTTACTTCTTCAACACTTTTCTTTATTTTGCAGGGAACCTAGAACTCCAGCACGGGCTAAACAATCCCAAACAAGGACATCAGTGATGCGGGAAATCCCTTTCCAAGACAGAGCAAATAATGAACCAGTTTTGAAAAAAGGATTTTCTGGGAAAAGGCAAGGGAAATACAAAACAGCACCCCGCTTTAAAAACATAAACGAGATGCCATTCATTTGAAATGCACGGGCTACAGTTGCTTAATCAGAGTCCCTTTCTAGCCCCACACTGTAAGAAGGCATAAAATAAAAATAGTGGGTGGGATACCACTCATTATCATCAAGCTAATCACCCAAGAAACAGCTTGCTTCCTCCTCAACACGTCCTTAAAGACCTGGCCTTGGAAATTCAATACAAGCAGAACTGTGCTTTGTAGGGATGTAATGGAGTTGGTGGCTTTTGAGAACTGTACCCACCGAGTCTGTGGGATTTGGCTGGACAATGCACTGTTCATTGTTTCAATATATTTATTTGAAACTGGCATTTAATCAATCCTCCTCTTTCAGGGAGCCTCAGTGCAACCCTTCTGCACAATGCTATGTCCCATGGCATTCATAAATGGGGCATTCAATAGTCAGGCTGTGACATGTAAGTGCAACAAGGCACTGGTGGCACTCAAGCTGCATCATAATCAACTCAAGAGTGATAAAGCACTACGCTCCCAAATATCACCTCTGCAGTCTCATTTACAACCTGCCACTGAGATGGTGAATGTTAAGAAACATCCTGCAGGACTAAGAGGGTTTTTTCCAAATGGAATTGATGAGAATAGGCTCAGCTAATGATTCTTTGATGTAGGTTTTCATATGGCATCATTGATATAAGTTTTATGGATGCAGTTGCTATAACAACATAATGTACAGTGGTTAAATATAGCAGCTCCTATTTTCCACTCAGTTTGCTCTGCCCTAAGCAGACAAGGACTATTCTTCTCTGTTCTAGCTGGGATGAAATAGATTTGATGCTCACTGAAGAAAAGAAGTGGTACAGTCCTTCCTCTCCCTCACAAAGACCATTCCTCTCCCCCCTAAGCAAGCAAGCAAGCAAGTAAACAGCAAAACCAACAGCCTCCCATTTGCTAGGCTACTGGGCAAGAGGGCTTGTTTAAAATCAAAATGCACAATGACTCTTGCAAAACTAAACCACCTTGATACTACATGTGATCTCAGTGCAAACACTGTCATTTCAAAGTGCAGGAAACAGAGGTTCTCAAATATTCCTGTCACATAGTATTTACCATGCTTACCATTTTACCATAATGCCTAGTGACTGGCCAAATGCTGAGAGGGGAGTGTAGTGACCTTGATGTCACTCAGGACCTGCTCTTCCTTGTAGATGTGTGTACAGGATCCAGCCTCTCTTGGCCTCAGGGAAAGCTCCTATTTTAGGGATAAGAGAGAATGATGTTGCCAAATCAAGGTGACAAGGAAAGAAGCAGAGCTACAGACGATTGCTTCCAATTCTCTCTTCTTTGCTATTGTGTATTTTCTTTGTTTTGGGCTGGGTTTTTTTCCGTCTGGAAGCCAGAACTGAAATACTCCCAAGGGAGACTGAAATCAAATAGCAATTTGCGTTCCTCTCCCATCCTGTTTTTTTCTGATTTTTCCCTTGCAGAAGAATAAATTCACCCTCAAACCTTGGCATTTCACAGTTCCTCCCAGATCTGAAGCCTAGACACATAGCAGCAGCTGGATTCCCTGCAAGCTGTCAGGAGGAAGGTTGCTGCAAGGGGAAAGGCACATTTCTTCTGAAATAGCTCCTGGTCCTTTGAACATAACCTCTGTTCCAGACACTAGAAAGAATATTTATGCCCTTAGTAGATAATGCTGAGCATCTGCTCAGCTATGACCATTTCCTGAACTGTTTTGTTCCTTGAAGCCGTTCAATAATTTGCATCTCCTGAAGGAAGGAGTTGTGGGATGGGTCACATGGCCTGTTCAACCCCTGCTTTTACAGAAAGTAGTCTCTTAGGTAGAGGGCACAAGTCTATCTTTCACAGACGGGAAGCACCCAAAAGAGCTGAGGATCACTGCACCAGCCCTCTGCTTCAGCCTTTCCACTTACTGCCACAGTGGAGGCAGAACCCTTCAGACCTTGTTTAAAGATGGTCAATAAATACATTGTACATGATACCTGGAGGGAAGAGTTCATTTGCCTTTTTCTTGCCATGCAGCACTGGAGCCCCAGGGGCAGCAACCGCTGCTTTGCAAAGCCCTGCTGGCAGGGAGGTACGTGAGAAGCCTCAGCATATGCTCCCGGTGCTGCCTGTACTAGCCCATATGTGAGAACTCACCAGGGCACCAAAAATCAGGAGTGATACAGTCACGCTCTACTTCCTCCATGACACAAACAGAAAAATAATGAGGGCAAGCAAGCCACTAAAAATAAACTTAACCTTTCAGTGGCCACAGCATCTCTCCTGCCACATGCAGATGACTGGGCCACCATGCTTATTTCTGCTGATTCAGGACTGGAAGAGAGACAAGACACAAACCAGCCCTTAGTTAGTGAGAGCTGCTTATACTCTGGTGTCCCTATCAAGATGCATCTCATCAGCTCAGGACAATGTTCTGCTGTAGGCCAAGGACTATCGCAGAGATCTGAGTTCAAGGGACTTGCAAATAATGAGTACTTCCTAGTAACATACTCTGAGACAAGACGACGTTTAACACCCCTACTGCACACACAGGAAGCCTAAAGCACGAAGGTGGGAAAGTAATTTCTGCACAGCCACAAAGTGAGACAACAGTAGAGCTGGGATCAAAATCAAGACTTTTCCTTAACTTTCTCATACATAATTCAGTTGCTACCTTGTTCTCCCTGTACCTTTTCAGGACGTAGGGGGACACAGAACAATCTGCCCTCCTTTCCAATTTGCAGGCTGTACAGCAACTGATGGAGCAAACAGAGGTGCAGGCAGCTGGAAGCTCTCTAGTCCCTCTGTACCAATGCTGTGAGCATCGGTCATCAACCTCTATTCCTCACTCACTCAAATAACACTCTGCTGGAAAGCATCTCCCCGTTTAGCCCAAACACACACACTGCTTTAACTCCACCCCCTTTCCTTCTGTTAGGCTATTTCAGAAGTTGCTGGGAAAAGCCATGATGCCCTCTAACACTGAATTCCAGCCATCAGATAGCATCAAAGACTTTCAGCATCTTCCCAGAGGAGCTCAGCAGGTCACAGTAGGGGCTCTGTGGCACTCCAGCTTTCTCTAGGCAAGTGAGAAAGGAAAATCACTGTGATGCTGTTAGCAAGGAGAGCCAGAGAGTGAAGTGCACAGATGATTCAGAAAACAAATGGGTGCTAAAAATACAAGATATATTGCAAGGAGTTCTTCTAACGCCTGGGAAAGGCAGGGGCAGCTGTGGGGGAGATCTCTCTAGGACACAATGCGGTCTGAATGAGCAGAGGGTTAAAATAAAATACAGTAGCTGTCTTGCCAGCAAAATTTGGGTGATGTTAATACAAGGGATTTTTGTCTAGCAACCTTATCACAGCACAGCACTGAGACAGAAGTTCTCAGAATGTAATGAATAAAGTGGTGAAGGAATGAACTGACTTAGGAAGAGTGGTAAATAGGTACAGGTCCAGTGAAAGATCAACATCCTTGGGTCAGAGAGGTAAACTCAGTTACTTGGACAGGATGGCAGCAACCTCTGGAACAATGGTGCAGAACTCTCCAAAATCCAGCTACCACCAGCTCAGGCATCAGCTCACTCTCCTCAAACCAGAAGTGCAAAGTGACCTGCGGCATATGTTAGTGGGATCAAGGGCAGGAAGAGCAAAGAGGGCCCAGTGAAAGGGATACTGGCAAAGCACCAGCAGATGAAATAATAAAGGATGCTGTAGGTCATTTACAGAGCTGTGAGAGTTTCTCCAAACAGTATTGTGTCCCACAGCCTGGCACTCAGTTATATTAGTGAAGTTAATCACTCTAGCTGTTACGCTTACACACAAACACCACGTTCACTCTGTAACACTATAGAGGGGCGTTCAATGAAACGTGCAGAACACTGTACCTTAAAGCATTGTAAAGAGAAATGTGGTTAGCATGACCACTCACTCCTCCTGCATCAAAGGTTACCACCTGCAATAAAACCACAAAACAATAATCATTTTGAAGGTGACTGTGCAGTTACCAACTTTGACATCTAACACAGCACTGTCCCAGCTCACTGTATCTAAAGAATTGTTTTTGTGTTGCACAATGAAGCCTCGTGCATGAACTCATTCTACCGAAATACAAGTAAACAAACAAGATACTCTGGAACTAGATGACTACACAGTCTAACAGCTTGAACAACAGAAAGATGACAAATACTGTGTTCCTACTGTCAGGATGCACTTGTTACTTATTACTGGGCCAAAAAGTTACTTTCAGAGTGATCTGTTGCAAACTTGTTTGTGACCCAAGAGGTCCAACTCTGTGAATCACTCTCTCCTGTATTTGAGAACATACTAGAATGCCTGTGGATTACAGGGTGAAAATATAATTTGTTGTACTGTGAATCAGGATGTACTGCTTTATCAAGAGCAACACAATCATGTATTACTGTCCTGATTGTAATGAGGCTTCATCACAGCATAACATAGTGATAAAATAATCTGAGAACAAGCCTTTTTAAAGAATCATCTGACTGCACTTTTTGTACAACGAAATCAGGCTTTTCGCTGAACAAGAAGATCATATTGTTTATTGCTTCTCTGCAGGGAGAAATGGGAACTTCATAATGCAGAAGTAATGTGTGAACACAATTCACCATCCAAAGCACAAAATAACCCTTGGCTCCCTGCCCTCAGACCTACCAATAATGTGTCAGGGGTGAAGCATCTATCCTAAGGGCTCACTCTGCACAGTACTGTGAAGTGGGTACTTAGAGGCTCCCACTTCCATCCTAGAAGACAAACTGACAGTGCAAAGCATAGAGCAGACAGGGTATGTGTGCTGGTGGGCTTTCCAGATGGTAGAAGTGACAGTCCTTGGACAGTCTTAAAGTTGGGTTTTTGCTCTGGGAGAGGCCAAGCAGCAGAGCTCTCCACAGCTCCCTTCTCTATGACCAGGAAGAAATCATAACCTCACTACGTTTCAACCAATGTCTGCTTCCTTGCCAGCTTTTTCTCTCTTCACGGAAAGAAATGCTACTGTCTTGCTTACTCACCACAGCTCCCTTCTCAAAATCTGTTTTATACACAGGGCCTGAAGTAATGGGTTAAAGATCAAGGGAAGATCAAAAGCCATCCTGCCTGTGCTGCAACTTGCTACTCCACCCTCCAACAGGAGAGGCCCGCTCAAACATAGGGGATATTGTGTAAAGAGGGAGAGGAAACACAAAGACAGAGATAAGAAATACTTCAAAAACCACAAACTCCAGACAAGCCTGCTTATAAACCCATCCACCCAGTACAAGTCCGCAGTTAGACTTTCCACTTTGCTCACTGGCTGTAATAATGCTGCCACCAAGCAGCGGAGTTATTCATTGCTGGCAGGAAGTGGTGGGACCCAATTTGGTTTTGTTCAGGTACAAAGAACCATTTTCTGGTCAACCTCTACTTTATAAGGAGAAAAACGTCTTCAGCTTTGGCTGCTTTTGCTGTACACCAGCATTACCTGAGAGGCTCTCTGCAGGGACTGCACGGTTTGGCATGGTACTAAGCTCTCCTTAAGAATATCAGCCCTTTGAGTAGCTCATCTGGGAAAGACGTTATTAAATTCTGTACAGCCCAGGGAACCAGCATGGCACCCTGTATTTTAGAGATAAGAAATCACTCCTACCTAGAGTGGCACTTTCCTAAGATGGCAATGTACCCCACTCACTGCAGGCAGAATAAATTCCTATGCAGGTGAATAATAGCGTGAGTCTGCTAAGGGCTGGACTTGCACTAAACCTTTTTACTAAATGGGGACAGACAGAGGGTTTCTCTCTTCTGCCTGATCATTTATTTTCATGTAACCTGTACAAACGTAACATTTTTAAGAGTACTAAACTGCTGTCAAATGGGACTGAAATTAGCCAATGGCTCTACAGAGTCTTTTGAAACGTGCAGGTGCACCCACATACAAATAAAATTGCGTTATTGTTTCCTTAGGAAACCAAGCTAAAAACCCCAGGCAAGCCAAAACACACGTTTTTCCCTTCTATGGAGGGTACAAGAGAACAAACCTGAAGACTGAGATAAGAGATTATAGTAAGCAGACTAAATAAACTATCATTATTTTGACAAAACTGGCTCAGGCCAACTGTAGGAGCACAAGACTGAGTTAGGAACTATTCTTGACTTGGAAATTATCTGCTCAGAAACACCTTTGGAGGTTTTTCTTCTCCACATCTGTTTTGAAATAGGAGCTGCTGTTCTTAGTGCTGCGGGGCTTACGCAACATCTGAACTAGCTAAAGAGACTCCATGGAGTTAATTTTCAATTCATGTTGTCTAATTTACTGTTAGGACATTTGCACATGAATTGCCTGTCTCTTCAAATATACAAATTTGTAAGTACAATTCCCAAGGTATCTGCACACTGACCTGGCCATGATGGCACTCTATCTGCAAAGAGGCCACCTCTGAAATACTGGCCCTTCACCTTTAGAGGTGTCCCTTCCAGCACACAGGCTGGCTCTGACACAGTAGTGATGTCCCACCTACCCAGCATGTAGCTCCAAGGTCTGTTGTCTAAACAGGGCATCACTGTGATGCTCGTGACTTAAAGCAGGCAGCAATCACATGTAAATATACTCCTCTGGCTTCAGGGATTCATTTCATTGATAACAAATCTGAATTTCTCTCTCACATGCTGAAGATATTTTCACACGGGAGCATTTGCTTCTTTCACATGGTGCAGCTAGCTAGTGTGCTTGCTTTTAGCACATAACCTGACCCAGGCTGATGATGAAATCAAGCAAACAATCAGGGCAGGATGAAAAAACCTGAACATCTTGAAACTGTCTGGGTTAAAAACAGGCTTAGCAAGTTCTGGGAGCAAAAGGCTGGGATAGGAAATACACTTGATGTGGAAATTATTGCTCAATGAAATCTTTAGGGCAAGAGGGAGTTCCCTCCCCACACCTGTTCTGAAATGGGAGCTGCTGCTGTTGGTGTTGCTGGGTTTTCTTCGGGTGACCTTGGTATTCAGGAAATGGAGCTTTCACTAGTGGAAGCCAGAGCAACAGCCAAGACAAACAGGTCCAGAAATCCCTTCCGGAGGGGGGAGAGCACAGAGGAAATTACTCAATTACTAGCAGAAGAGAAAACTCCTGAGAGGTCTGGAGTCCATGCTCCCTCTACACACCATGTGCACTGGAGGAAAAAAACACTTAAAGCTGTGGGTCTCCCTCACTTTCTGGCATCATCCAGTGCTTCAAACAGAGCACACATCTGCTCAAGTAGACTGGTGGGGATAGAAAGGCCCCTTCCTTTTTAAGAAGGGCCATCCCATAAAACACCATAGCAAGCAACTCAATTTCTAATGGCTTTCCTCTGAGCATCATTTCCTAGGCCCAACCTACGCTTGCAGAGGCCAGCGACATTCAAACCCCCTTTGAGTCTCTCGTGTGTTTGGAGGTGTCTCTTGTTGCTAGTAAATCAGAGAAGCTAAAGATTAAAAAGATGGACAACTGGTATAAAAAAGGAAAAATCTAATGATGATCAACATCCCAGTGTCCACTGGGTTTGAGCTGTGTGTAAATCATGCATCAGCCCTTGGAATGAAAGGTCCTAGGGGCCTCCCACATACCCTAAAGCACACCTGAGGAGGCTGCAACATAGGAGAGGAAGGGAGGGAAAGGAATGACAAAGTCTGTCCCAGCTCTGTTGCAAACTTCACATGCTGTACTGCAAATCTGGTGTTTGCAAAAACATTTAAAAATCCTCTACAAATATCACACAATCAAATGCTCCCAAATTTTAGGAGGGTGTGGAGACCAAGATCCAAAACATGAGAGCTGAACTCACCCTCTCAAATATAAGCTCCAAATTGAATGCCTTTTGTAGAAGGATCTGGCTTTCTAGGCTGATTTGGAGCTGACCCAAGACAATGGGACTCTTCCAGAAACAGTTGCACAGATGATGTTTCCATCAATCCATAGCAGAAAGCAGCTTGTAAGAACATGGTATTGCTGAATTCTGGTCTTGGCACTGTATCTGCCCCAAACACAGTCTGAATGTCACCTTCTAATCCAAGCTCTGCTATCACCAAACCTGAGAACGTGAAGAGTGGGATTTCATAACCTAGAACCTGCCTGGGGCTCATACAATACTACGTAACGTATTTTTTACACACCGAATACTTTCTAACCTGGATCGACACAGACTAGCCTTGCCTGCCTCTCCCAGCAACACTGGCTTTTGCTTATAAATCCAGCAGGCAGGAAATAATGTCCAAAGCCTCTAAATTAGTTTTGGCTTTGAGTATACCAACTGTTAATTTCTGTGTCTGCACTATTTAATGTAGAGCTTCAATGAAATATGTAGCTCTCAAATAGATTGAGTTACTCATGGACTTCCAGGGCAACTATGCAATGGAACAAAACTATGCATAACATGGTGTGACTCCTTGCCTTGCAGTCTTTCCTTTCAGACATGTTGGAATTGCAGCCTGCTTCTCCACTGCCAGATGACACATATGTTCTGTAAATAAAAGGTACCATTGTCTATGCTATCACTACAGGGAGAACTAAGGAAAGTTTTCCCACTGGGATAGCTAAAACAATACATGTCTTCCAATCACGTTAACTCATGGAGTTAGCTTGTTGTGTTTGAAACCTTGTTAGCTGATGTTTTGACCAGGCTCTTCTAACATGTTAAGCCAATTCTATCAATTTCAACATTATTGAAAAAGAGACTCAGTTTAACTTTCAAAACAAGGCATTGTCTCAGGACAGCCAAGAATGGCTAACAGACAGCAAGCTTTCAAGTTCTAAAATGCAGAGTGTTGGACAAAGGTAATTAGGCACTTGCCTCGCTGTTGTTAGCAAACTAGGTCTGCTCCTAAATGAAAGGTATTATGGCAAACATCTGAGATCTGTGTCATTACTTGGGACACTTAAAATAATGTAAGTTTACAGAGCAGTTCATTACCACCATCCCTGAAAAGCTGCTTCAACGGCCTTTGGTACTGCTGACATGTTCTGCTACAGTAATTTGTCATCACTGCTGCTCAGGGAAGTCCTGAGGGGAATGCAATGGGCCCTGCTGCAGTGTTCCTCATTACTACAGCTACCCCCGACTCCCGCAGCACAGCAGGGAGAGTACCAGCGATTGTGCATGTTTCTTGCCTTGAAAATCCCGCACTTGATTTTTCAGCTCACGCTATGTTAATAGTAGCCTCCTGCCTCCCCCAGCATAAACAGCTCGAGTTTAATTTCCTCTGAGGCAAAGATCTAACCCTTTCCAACCATTTAGAAGAAGTTCTAGTGTTTTCAGAATTTCTACTGAGATTCTGGTGCACTTGTCATAGTGCCTGTGAGAGTCACACACATTCAATATAAATCCTCTTGTGTTAGAAGCTTTCAGATTAGATTAAAACCTATCTATTCATAGGGCCAAAAGACACAAAAGGAGTCCACAAAAACTGTATTTGTCTCTGTGCACAGCAATAAATTTCATGGAAAATTAGCCTCAGAATCAATACAAAGTCGGATACATGACGCTGGGTTTTGTGCTCATGGGGCTTTCATGCTACAGAAGATATGGTTTCTTGCTTTGTGAATTGCTGAAAGCCTTAACACTTTTGTGATTTTGCCCCTACTCAGTGTATGACAGTGACATGCCTGATCACAGCAAGGTTCAACAGAAAAGAACAGAACACAATCTCTTCCATGCTTATGCCCTTATTCCTGTTCTATAGGGGAAAAAAAAACAAAACCCAAACTATACCAGTGCTAGCAAATCTCCCCTGTTTAATATTCTTCAATCCTGACCTATAACCCTGCTAATTTAGCTCTCTAACACATGCCTGCCAATGTTCTTTAAATCTAAGCCTAAATCCCAGATGTGCTCTCTTCATCAATGAAACCTAGCAACAGGGGTGAAATGGTTGCTTTAAAATGTAGAAAACATTTGACGAGTTAGTGAAGCAAAATTCCTCCACTGTTCATTTCTCACTGGGAAGCAAAGAAAGATGTCCAGAGAGCAAAGATGCATCCAAACTACACCATCATCCTTTTCCATATTTTTCAGTGGAGCAATTCTATTTGTTCTGAACTTCTAGCAGTTGTTCGGGGTGTTTGAAAGAGGGTCTGAATGACCATGTCTTAATTGTTAAGACATAGGAGCTGTACAAATACTCACAAAAAGTCTTAAACTACAAAACACAAAATTGCTTTCAGGTATCATTTCAGACCTGCAATTCAGCTGGGCTTATTCAGAGGGTCTTCTATAATTAATGAACCCCAAGATCTACTATAGTGAAACTTAGTAGTTCCCACAGAGTTTGCAGTTTTTAACCAGTTTGAAGCTTTTACTTCGGTGAGGGTTGGTGGCACTACAACCCAAAAGAGGCTTCATAAGATTTAGCTAGAGAAATGGATAAACATTATAAAGCAAATATTTAAAGATTAGTAAGTATGCTTTCTCCCTCTCCTAGACTACTTCACAGATAGTCTAGAAGCAAAATCCTAGCTTTAAAGACTTCAAAGAAACCTTTCAGAGGGAAGGAAAAAGCCTAGAACATTAGCTCAAAAGTAACGCAGAAATTGCCTACGCTGTAGAAAGTTTCACATTACCAGGTTGATGTCATTGGCTTCGATATGCTTGTGCACAAAGGTGGCGAGGAGCTGTGTGTCCCATTCAACAGCAGGATTATCCGGAAGATCCCTGAAAATGAGAAGTGCAATTAGTCACTTCACTGCTGAGAACTATAAAGACCATGCTAGAAAAGAGAGATCCTCTTATCAAAGAACGAAATCCAAGATAAATTTATTAACCATATAAAACCACTGAACCTTACGTAAGAGTCTTACAAGCTTGTATACTGGAGGGGTTGAAGGGGAAACAGCAGTTCCAGCACCCTCCTCATAGATTTGCCAAGGTCTCCCTTTCGTCTTACCATTAAGGTAGACTTTCTAGCTGCTTTACTTTAAGCAATATCTATTTTGTTCAGTGATTCTTGTTCTCTACTCATCCCAACCAAATGTATTTCTCTCCTTATTTAAAACCCCTTTTAAAACACATTTTCCTGAAAGATTTTCCAGTCATAATCTACTGGTGAATTACATATGAAAAGTAACAAGCAAACTCCTGCTTTCATTTATACAGAAATAACCCATTAACCTCAACCAGAAGACAATAGGGCCATAATTATATTGCATGGATTTTATAGTAGTTCTTAATCTGTTTATTTTATGCTTTGCATACCAACCGGGCATGCAAAACATACTGTGACTGAATACTCTGCCTGGGTGTTTTAGATTGCAGGCTCCTAGGGGCAGGGACCATGAGCCAAATGCAAAATAACACCAGGCAGCCAACAGAATGATTCCATATTTACACAACTGAGAGCTGAATTTGACCCCCCAGTTATTATGTTTGAAAGATGCCAAGAAAACATTGCTTGCAAAGTTAAAAAGGTTATTAGTAACAATAGGATAACACGCAGCTGCTAAAGACCAATAATGACATGTTAAGCTGGTCTGTTTCTCAGGCCTTTTCCGTCCTCTGATAATTGCTGTGAGGTGTTGTAGCAGAAAAGTGACTACACAGCCTTCTCACACAGACACATGGGTTTGGATCTGAATTGATCCAGCTGTTTGCTGCAGAGAGCAGGGGCATCACTTCCCAACACTCTTCACGCCTTGCTGGCTCCCCAGACAGCAAGAACGATAACATCTGCAACAAAACAACAGGAAAGTGTCTCCTTGGCACGTTTCAAAGTAAAGCTCGGCCTGGGTCTTCATGAGAGGTCTTCTGGACACACACTTTCCCACTGCTGTTAACAGTAGTAGTAGTAGAAAGAAGGGCCTAAAGTACAAACTGACCGTTAGCATTTTACCCATTGCGTTACATAGTCCTGCTCAGCACAGGCCAAAATAACATGCTGTTAGAAACCTCAGCAATAAAGGCAGGCATTTCTACATTAGTGTACACATCTTAGCTACAGTCTCTGTAGCAGTATTACGAACAACAGAAATTCCCTCTTGTATAGACAGCATCATTGCCTGATGTATAAAAGACATTTGAATTTCATTCTACCAAAGATTCTTTGGTATATCTGGTGACTGTCTCATCAACTTAACAAACCTGCATCTCAACTGCTCAAGGCAAAAAACTTTCACATCTCATGTTTGAAGAGGAAGTCGCCCTGTTGACCCGGAAGGTATTACAAGTCCCACCATGGCACAGCAAGCTTTAAAAGGAACACATTTTAAAAATATGCTTCAAGTAAAGCATCCCAAGCAACATGCACACTGAGCAGAGTCTAAGTGCAAGTCTAAGAGTGCTTCAGTTGTTCAAAAGGTACCTTTGAGGTTATGTCAAGGTTTAATCAAATAATATTAAAGTAGTAAATTAGTCTAAAAGGAATTCTTCACTGCCCACTTGCAATGCAAATATCATCCCCCTTTTTGGAGAGGGCTTAAATGGAGCTGAAGAATTGAAGAGTCCCATTAAAACAGGAGGGATGCTCCAACAACTGAGAGGTCAGAAAAAAAAGTAGGGCTTGGAATTTATGATGTCCAGGAGGCTTTGGTGTCACAGCCACTGCACTCAGCTTTATTGGGCTGTCTCCAAAAAGGCTGCTGGGTAGTAGAGCAGGTTTTAACTAGTTTTAGTCAGATAAAGATCACCCTCGTTCAATGGAAATGAACAGCTGGAGGCAACGGTTTAGAATCCCTGGAAACAAAACAATCTGAAGGCATGAGCAAATTAACTCCATGAACACTGAACCGATTAAGCAGGAATACTCTGCAAAAAAATCTGCTTCTACCCACTTACTGCTGCTTATGGAGAGACCACTCATTCCTCATAAGGAAAAGGAATTATATTTCTTGGATAATATTTGTCAGGCACCAAAGACAGAGAAGCTGATCTTGCCAAACAAGACACACATGTACATAAGCACATTCATAACTCATTAATAGCCATGATGGGCCACTGCAGTATTCTTAGCTCATTCTGCAAACACGAAAAGTGACACACAGGTTAAATGACATGCCTAAAGTCACCCAGAGAAGTCAGCAACAGAACTGGCAATATATTAATCTACATTGCTCCAATAAATTACTTTTTTTTTTGGTAAAAGTTTGTATAATACTTTGTAAACTCAAAAATTTAAGCATTGCCGTGATAGTAGGGACCCAACTGAAAGCACAAGACCAATAACTTTCTGCCTGTGCTCTGAACATCAATAATTTGAGCCAGGTAAGGATGATAAGGTGACTAAGAAAACCAAGTTGATATACACCATATAGCAATGCACATTCTTATAGGAGGTTTCTACACGCCCTAGGAACTTTGTAGGGCCATACAAACTTTGAAAACTTCTATAGTTCACAAAATCATGTATTTAGTACAAATATTTTTCCTAGTATTTTCCTAACCAGTCCTCACCAAACCTGAAAAGTCCACTGACCTGCTGCATTATTGAAATAAGTTGCATTCATTGTGTTTTTACCTTCAGGACTTAATACCAGAAACATTCAGCGTTTAAATGGTTAACTCCACACTGCCTTTCTGGCTAAGGCTGGTAATGCCTCTGAGCTCAAGGTCGAAGGGCTGAGATAAAGCACTATAAAGGAGTGAAAATTAGCACATTCCCTGGAGCAGACCGGAGCTAGTCCCAGGAGATGCGGTTCCCCAGCCACCCTCCCTGTCCTCTGCCCCAGAGAGCTCCTTGTTGCTGCCGTCAGTCACTGTGACAGATCAAGACATAAATCCTGCGCTGGAGAGGCCTCCCAGCACATGCTGCTGGAGGGTGCTGGTGGGATGGGTAGAGGGGTTTGGTCACTTGGCCTCATTTCCACCAAACTATTACAGTCTGGAAGTGATGTTTATGGGCATTCCACGTGACTGATACTGAATGCAGGTGGCTGCTTGGATGCAGCCCTTGTTGACAAGGGAAAAATAGGGAGATGCATAGAAGAAGCAAAAAAAAAAAAAAAAAGTTTTTAATGGAATAAGGCTCCAGAAATGTTGTTTTCCCAGCTATTTTCAGTGAAAGCCATGCTGTGCACTGTACAGGGAATTTACAGCTGTGCCAAGCGATCTATAGACTGAATACAGAGAGAAACAGAGAATTATAGTGCTGCAGTTGCTGTAGTATGCAGTAGTGTCTGTCTCTGCTTAATCCAGTCATGGGAAACATTGTTTTCTGAAAACAAAAATCTGTACCTTTCTATTTGTCCATCCAGTGTTGGTAGTGAGAACCGGACAAGCCCCCTGGATTTCTCCTTCTCACCTCCTGGCTTTCCTCCTTGCCAAGCTCAGCAGACAGAGCAGACACTGGCATCTGCAGTTTCCCTTCCCAAGGTTTGCACAGGAAGAATAAGGTATATGTCCTGGACATCCTGGCCCAGGCACCAGAGAGCTACAAGGGAGCTTGTAATGTGCAAATCACATCAGCACATTAAACAAAAACTCAATCTTCTGCAGATCTTGCACAGCAGTCTTACAGCTGGCTGAATGAAAGAAATGTTAAAAATCACTGCCTGATGCCAGCTCCTCTCCAGGCCTCCTCCTCTTGCCTGCTGTGGGCTGTGGAGCATAGCTCCTCTTTTGCCTCAGCCTTGGCCATTAAAACACCGTGCCTGTTGCCAGTAATGCTATCCCTGCCAGTAGCCTGGACAATTTTGTAGGGTCATCTTTCTAGGAACGTTTGGGCTCAAGATGGCTAGATTCCTGTCATTTGGAAGGTCTCTTTTGGCCAAGATAGAGATTTAAAAACCTTCACAGATATATATTGCCAAGTTACACTCTTCTTACATGATATACTGCTCAACCCCTGTCCAATTTTCCACTGCTCATCTTCCACAAATCTTTTAGCAACAGCCAGTGCAATGTACAATCTTCTTCCATAGCCTTCCATGGAATTTGTTCTGCTCATGAACTAAGCTCACATGACTGCTCTAAAGGTTAAGTTAAACTAAACAGTTAGTCTATGCGATGTCCACATGGTTTAAACAAACAGCAAATGGGCTGTCCTATATGGGACACTTGCAGTTAGAATAACCTTGACATCTGTCCCTCCTGAAATCTGTTGAATCGAGCAATCCTCAGGCCCCTGGGTGCATTATGAAGAAGTGCCTCTCGTTATGCGACAGGTACCCTGACGGGGACTGGCAAGCACCCTCTCTGCCTTGACACGAAGCTTTTGTAGGTGGTAACAGCGAAGGGAGTGGAGTGGCAATAGAGTTCCTTCTGGAAGGTGCTTAGGTCTCTGTGAATACATTCTGAGACACCAGAGTAAAACTTTCAAGATACTAATGTGATTTTCCATTTCACTACACAGCAAAAGGGTCAAGATGAAGGAGCTTTCCCATTCCTTATTGCCTTTTTATCCTGCAGCGTGACCTTAATCAATCCAAGGCTAGGGACCAGGAAACATTTTTGCATAATTTCTCCTCCTTATCCCTCCTCTCCCCAATGAATGATTTTACATTAAATCAGCACAAAGGTCGGTAGATTGATGGCGGATTACATAGGAAACAGGTGAACTGCTGTGCACTAGGTTCCCAGCTGAGAACAATGACCGCAATGTGTTTGTTGGAACAAAGGATGCCCTTTGTATAAAGTTAACTGTATGAAATGAACATCTGGGCAATTGAAACTGGATCAAAAAGCAAAAGATCCCACAGAACAAAATGACGTGAGTGCACAATTAG